GGCCTTTTGTTGATAAAAGAGGCACCCTTGGGGGCACAACTCTGCACTTGGCGCCGAGTCTCATTGTTTTACCATGCCTTAATGTGGAGAAAGAGTTTGAAATGAAGTAGTTTTTCACAAAGGTTTTAATTTCTAGCGGCCGATGTGGTGGCCTGAACTTGAAATGCTTCTGACGTACAAGTTGTATCAAGCATTGACTTCTGAGGGAGAAGAATAGGACAACAGCTCAGGGAGCCGCTCCTGTGGACTTGGTAAGAGTTCCTTCTTTGACATTTATGTATTTTTTGATTAATTTATTTTGGCATTTAATATTCAATGAGATCATATATACAGTATCTCACCGGATATGATTTGCAAGAATATTCAATGCCAATTATAAAATCAGCATTTTAATATTTCTGAGTCAAGTCTTTGCTTTTTTGCTTGATTAATTAATGATTACTATATTCGTGATTTACATTTTCTACCAGCCAAGGGCCATGTGGACAAACCTTACTTGTTGCTAGAAGTCAAGCAAACCAATGTACCCCACATGGACATGTTGATGCCTTGGATTTCCTTGTGCTTAATGCCAAATTGAGGATGTCATGATTCATGCATATGCCCATGTGGTTGATGCTGAAAGAATGATGTCCTACTCTTAATTTTGCTTTCCTTTAGACCTTCAATAATTCAATAGTTCTTGAATTTAGATTATTGAGGATGACTCAGGTCTCTTTCTTACAATTTAATTCACAGATTTCAAAATTCAAATTTGAAGTATTTAATTTTGAATTCTCGCAAATCATTGCACAATTTCCTTGAAAGCTCTATAACTGAGTCTCATTGAACCTAGAAGAAAAGTAGTGTTGAAATTCTGCCTTTGTGGCTTGTGCTATTGGTAAACTTTGTTTTCAATTTCAATATCTCAGCCAACTTCACAGCCTTACCAAGAAGTCAAATATGGGTTCTTTATTGTGTTACCAAATTTCAACTTTTGAGTGAATGCCGTTAGTAATGTGCAGGTCGTTTTCTTCTTTCTTTCTTCTGTGGTAGAAGTATGTTCAATTTCCCCAATATATTTCCGAAATTAAGGACAAATGAATGTGGAAAAGAGAGGTTTTCTTCATCATTATTGACAGTTTATTGAGGTTTTTTCTTCCTTTTCCACAGAACATGGAGAACAAAGGCTTAGTTCCCTTTGTCAAAAGTTGTACACTTGCATTCTAATAAACCGAAAAGAGTTGCTGAGTTTGAACTTTGGATCCAAGGTTCCCTTCCATGATAAAAGGAGCAATGAAACTATAGCCCTCTCGAAGGAATCTTTCAGGGTAAAAAGCAAGATGTTTTACCTGCCTTGAAAACGGGGCTACACGTTGGTAGAGGCCGGCAGTCTTCCGGCTGACTTTGTTTCGCTCTTGCGATGCCCCTCTCTCTACGGTAGCACAATACACTACCACTTTTCTCCATTATGATGGCACCTTCACCTAATGCATCAACTGGTAATTTGGGTGTATGTGTGTGTCTTTCTTCCTTTTCTTCTTCTTCCTTATTTGTTTTTGGTTTTTTTTTTTTTAAGCAATGTAAAGCCTAAATCAGTATTTTTCTGAGTTAGTGAATGCTAGCTAACTCACTCAAAACTTCGGTTGAAATGAATCATGGGGCCCTTGGAGTGGACTAGGCCTTTGAATGTGGCCCAAATCCTCGATTCTCTGGGCTTTCACTTCGTTTAGTTCACACAAAATTATTTTTGTAAAATTTAAAAAAGAGAAATACAGAAGTATCAAAACAAGTTCTTATCAATCTTAATTATTATTGGTTTTTTAAAGTAATCATTTTCTAATCACTATTATCAACTGAACTTGTCCAATGACGTAATCATTTTCTAATGACATTAATCATTTTTTAACATAATCATTTTTCTAATTACCATTATCAACTAAACATGTCCGATTTAGTATTGGTTTGAATCCGTCCTTGATCGGTTTGATTCAGTTTACATTACACCAATTGGTTTGAATGGGAATTAGCACCCTAAATATAGTTATATGTGTTAAAAACAAATTATTTTTTTAATGGTGAATTTATTTTATCCATCTTTTTCAATACTAATAATATTCTTGATTTGAGGAAAAGACTAAGTAGAGCAAAGAAGAAAAAAATTATCTATCTAGTTAGTAAAATTAGAAAAAAAAGTTATTTTTATATATTTTTTTAAATTTTTTATTGATTCAAATGAAGAGAAAAAACAAAAACAAAAAGATATCTCTTTCTATTTCCTTCCCCTACGTTTTCATTAAATCAAACATGATACTTAAATAAGTTTAGTTTGAGGAAAATGAGAGTATCCTTCCTTTAAATCCAATTTACTCCAACACTTTGTTTGGATTAATGGAAATACGGAGAGTGATGGGAAGTGAAGGGGACGTACGGTAATCCAAAACAACTTTAAAAACAAACTCCTTTCGGTTTTAAGAAAACCAATTCTCTATTCAGAAGGCCGAACATACAGGACTACCATATAGTTTCTTCAAAAAGCCCGAGTTTCAACGGGCCTGAAATAGAGAAATCCCTGACATGGCTAATGAATCATTGAATCTCAGAGTCTCACTTCCAAGTTCCAACCCCAATCATTAAAGAAACCCTCCTGCAACCGAAAAAAAAAAGGTCAACGAGAGACCCTGAGGAAAGAACAAAAAAGTCCATGGCTTGCAAGCAGTATTACACCTCTTTCTCGCTGGTCGTAACCAGGATTGTCCTACTCACCGTCCACGCCAACGACCCTCGCGGTCTTGGAGAAGTCGACGATCTATGTGAGAAGGCAGACTTCAAAAACCTCTGCAGGGATACTCTACACTCTACAGGGAGTAAGGGATCCAATTCAAGCTACGGAAAAGTCCATCAATGAATTGATTGCGGAGAGACAGAAAGGACCAAGGCCAAGGATATATCAGTGAGCAAGGATCCGAAGCTGTTCTGGATGCAGTCATAGTTACGACGCTGCCATCACTGACCTGAAGAAGGCCCTGGAAAGCTTAAAAAAGGAGGACATGGAAAGCCTCATGATCAGTCTCAGTATGGTGATTGAAGATTATGGTTCGTGTGATGACATGTACGTGGATGGACCCGTTAAGTCCCATGTAGGCAGTGCTAACAAGGCCATGATCCAGATGGCTGGTAACTGCTTTGCATTGGCAAGTTTGATACAATTCTGAAGGTATACATAATTATAATTCTTCTAGGCAATGCATTTGTTTCGGATGATTTGCTTGCCGGAGAAGAGGTCGACTAACCCAACCACATTAAGTGGCATATGGATAACTTAGTGGTGGATTTTTTTTTTGGGTCAAAGTTAGATAGCACTAGCTAAATCGGTCCAATGTCATTTAATTACTCCCTTAATTTTGTGTTTTTTTTTTTAAGTTCTTTTATTTTTCTTGAAATTATATCTTTTAAGTTAATTAGGAATTAAATGATATTGATTATAAGAGTGACTCGATTTATTATAAAATTGTAACTTTAAATTAAAAGTCTCAAATTTAAAATTTAAATTAGATGAATAAGAGTTTTAAAAAAAAAGTAAGTATTATTTTTTTTATATAACTTATAAATAAAAATAAATGATATTGAGAGAAGGTATATATGTTTCTACCAAATAAGAAAAGTTAAACAACTATCAACTTATATCTTCAACCCTCCCTTCACTACTGAAATAATAATAATAATAATAATAAAACAAACTTATAGCTTTAAACTTTGTAATGCAAACACATTACTGATCATTTACAAATAATTGCATATTCTTAGACACAGCATATACAATTTTGAGGACACCATGAAATTGACACAGCATATACAGTTTTGAGGACACCATGAAATTGACACAGCATATACAATTTTGAGAACACCATGAAATTGACACAGCATTTACAATTTTTTTTGGATGAGACATGCAGAATATACGTGTTCATTTTGTTTTTTTATTTGGTGTTGTGATATTTCTTGAAATGTGATGGAGAAGTAGCCAGAGAACAAATGTGAAAATTGAGGGCCACAATTAACTCTTTAAATATCTTCTCTTTTGAGTCACTCCACCATTGTCCTACAGATGCTCATCAGGCCGCTACCTTTACACTGTCTGCTAAAATATCATTGATTTCTTCCGTCCATTTCGCGTTTGCATTCAAACACGAGTAAAATATTGGTTAAGATTTCAACACTGTCCTCAAGTAGAGAGAAGTGACCTTTTCATAAGCAAACAAAAGAGAAAATTAAAAACATGAAAATCGAAAAAGAAAAAGTCCAAATGATTTTGTTTCTCTCCTTTTTAAAAAAACATTATATACAATTAAAAGGTAATTCTAAGTTTCTACTAAAGATTTAGATTCACTTAAGACAAGTAGTGTCTTTAATTTAAATAAAAACCAAGAGTTCAAGATTAAAACAGTTATTTAAAGATTTTTTTTCTTTTTTTTTGAATACACCTTCAGACAGACATGGGGTGCAGAATAATCAATTAAAAAACCATTAGTATCCAAAAATTAAATATAAAATTGTCACCCTTAATTATTAAATTTAAGATTTAAATATAAAACTTTTAAATTAAAAATTCAGTAGATTAACTCATCAAAGCATAATAAATAATTCTTCATGAATTAAATAGGCCATTTAACCAAAATTTCAAAACAAAAAGGGAATTGCCATACTCCACCGCTTGCAAGGATTGGAAGAAAGAAACAGTTCACAAAATCGACCAAATCCTTAATAGAGAAAAAGCGAATGCATCACAAGCAAACAGGCAGGCCAGAAAGTGAGATTGGGATGGTACTAGAAAGGAATTGCTTGCGTGGTTGGATAAGCGTCTTCCCAATCTCCGAGATTCCATTCGTTATCCTTACGCATAAATGGTGCACCGGCGTCTAATTATCATCATATTTATTTTCATCCATTTTCCTTACCCCAGGGCCCTAGCACCTCTGATCAAAGGTGTGCAGCTACTTTGGGAATATTTTATATAATATTTTTTTAATATCATTTTTAAAAATATAAATTTTATATAATTAAAAAAATCAAATATTTTGATGTTTAAAATATTAAAAAAATAATAAATTAAAATATTTTTAATAAATTAATATATATAAAAAATTATTAACAACATTTAAATAATTTCACAAAAAAATTTGACATTTTAAGCATTAGAGATGCTGTAATTTTTTTTATTTTTTATTAATAATAACTAATTTTAATTAATATTCAATATTTTTTAAATAAAAATTGAAAAACTTGAGCTTACAGCATAGCCGAACACCATAAAAAGAAAGCCTTAATAGATTCAGAAATGATGGAGTTAGAAATTCATACTTTTGATAAATAATAATAATAATTAGGACCAAATTTTTTCTAATTTACTAATTGAAGAAAATAAATACGAATAATACAAACTTAGGTTCAGATATTTAGAGCGAACCTTACATCTCCATCTTAAAATAATGTAGTGAGATAATATCAAATATAATATTTAACGGTGTATATGCATGGCATCCATATATAATTATCTAATAGTCTACTGTATTAGTGTAAATTAATAGTAATTACAGTACAAAAGGTAAAGAAGAAAAATATTGTATAATTTAAATTATAATAAATTACACAATACTAATTTTATTAAAAATTTTATTT